GCAGGTATAAAGTAAGTTACACGGACGCAATGTTAAGCTTGCAGGCCATCCAGGGCGGCCACAGTAGATATCCCATTGTCAGAGAGATACAAAAACTATTAATTTCAATTACTGCAAGTCTGAGGCCCCAGCTACATTGGATTCCAGCCCATGTGGGTACTAAAGGAAATGAAGCAATGGATATGATTGCGAAAGGCGCAGCTAATGAAACCCACGTGAGTAGCATTGGTGTGCCCCTTCTACACTCATATCTGAAAACTTCTCTCAAATGTGAACTAATGAAGTACTGGTAAAACTACTGGGAGAGAAGCACCACAGGCAGAAGACTGTATGATTTCCAACCAAAAGTTAACCACAGTTTTTAAATAGCAGCTCTTGGCACCTCACACAGTATCTGATAGGGCATGGCCCATATATGTCCTATCTTCACAGATTTCGCCTAAGAGATAGTGACCAATATATTTGTGGCAGTACTGGTGACCCAGATCACTATCGGTTTGACTGTTCGCACACAGGGAATTTGCATTTAAAAAGACCAACTGCAATCAATATGCTGGCATAGTTCAAGAACACAATTAAGAATAAATATGCGCTCAGCCGCATTAGAGACTGCACTACCATTGCTAAAAGCATTGCTGACAGCCTGGAGGGACTTTTTTCCTTGGACACTGTGCCGTCAGCAGCCCGCTCCGTATATATATTAATTTACTAAACGTCTTGCGTTTTTATTTTGTTTCGTTTTTGCTGTTTTTAATTATATTTAATATTATGATTAATCCAGAACTCATTTAATGTATTCCACAATTTGTAATGTATTTGATCATCTTTACATCTGTACCTGATTATTATAGCACATCCTTAATTTAACTGTTTGCCTAAACATGTACTATAATAGTGAAAAGTGTTCCGCTTAGTCTCAGCAGTCCCCACCCTGCACCTTCTTTCCATGTTCTGGTCCTTATTTCAATGTTCCTCCTTTCGTGGCCAATCCCCGGTGGACACAGTATTAAGCTCTTTATTTATATTTTATTCATGTACTTATTTTTAATTCCATTGACGGGATCCAACAGACTGAAAAGCACCTAACCCAGTGGGCCAGGTGTTCCGTCGATGGCGAAAAGAAAGATAGTCTGGGCTAACGCTCCTTTGGACTAATAATAGGAATTCAAAAACTAAAATATTAATATTGCGTTAAGTAGTTCCATATAAATATTTTGCTGATATTTGAGTTTGAAACATATTATACATTTGTTATTACCCGTACTTTTCTTTCCATATCTAAATAAGTCTTTAATTAAGGAGTTTATTGCACACCTTTCTCTTTGAAATAAAGCCGAATTCGTCATGAAGGAATGCTCATTTAAATGTTAAATTAGGTAATAAAAATAGTAAGAATGTTCGTAGTCAGTTAAAAGCTAACTATTAAGTATATTTTCGAGTTCAAATTTCTGTGGTTTTTCGTTTTTTCTAAACTCAAAAGGAGAAGTAAATTATTTTGCTAATATTAATCCACATCAGTCCAATTTGTGTAAAGGTTTAGATTAAAAATCTAGATTATGATTTTTATTCCGCCGGTTACTAGCATTGAAATACCTAATAAAAACTCAAAATTCATATAGAACTAACTAGTTTATTTTTTCTTTGAGTAACCAGAAACAGGTTAATTCAGTCAGGTTTTTTTATGAGAAGGAGGGCCTCGATTTAATGTGTTCTAAAGTTCGCTTATGTAGATTTGAACTTCCTAAATTACTGGACTGCATTTCAGCAAATTTTTTAACAAGTTCACGCGCATGAAAACGACAGTAAATGTTCAGCTAGAATCGAAAGAAGAAAGCAGGAACCTATTTACTTTCACTACCACCTTTGCTTTTTTTTCTCCCTTAATCAAATGCTCTTTTGTTAAATTAAGATGCTTAATCGGTATATAATCAGTTGCTATTGCTCATTTTAGCTGCGAAAAACATGAGTTCTGAACATTTTTTTTATGCCCACACGGTATAGTGCTTAAGGGAGCCTACTGCGGTTTCGAAGGGTCTGGGTTTGAATTTTGGAGAAAGCTTAGATCTTTGTAAGTGTATAATGTCCGTGCGGCTTGGAGCACTCTAAATATTCGTTGAGCTGAAAGACCTATCGAGAGGTTGGTGGATGGGAAAGAGTTGTGAGAGATCCTAGACCCGTCCTCCCACGCAGTGCTCTCCATCAAAATTGGGGGCGGAACTAAGCAAAGTCTTACTGTCACCTGTATTTTGCTCAAGGCTTTTTGCCAACGACAGGAGCAATCTTGCACTCCTTGCCACTTAGGCTTGTTCTGATGTCACTGTCAGACAAGTGAGATAAGTCACAGACAACAATAATGTTCGTTCAGTAGAATGATTAATACTCGTACCTTACTTTATGCTTAATAAAATCATAAGCAGAAAACACTTAGGCTTATTCCTAAGAGTAACATTGATGAAAGACAAGCCTTTGCGATTTATTCTATTTTGCATTCATGTTTATAGGAACTTGCCCCTTCTATTTACTAAAGTGCAAGTATGACATTAATTTCTGCTTACGTGTAATCATCTGTCACATTTAATTGCAATGCAGTTGCTTAACACAAATTAATTTAAATCATTACATAATATGAAAATGCAGATAAATTCAATTAATACTATTGGATAGGCATGACACCTTCTGTTATGTTTCACACAAAATTCAACTTGCATTGTCAGCATAAAGTATTTGTGGATTATTCATTAATTTGATTTCAAAACCTAAATCATAACGAATTAAACAGATATAGAATGAGAAAATTAATTACACATATTGCACATATATCGTTATTAAATAAATTATTATCGATTTTCGTTATTTTGAACAGTAAGAAATATATACGCAGCTATTCGATAGAAGACAGCATATTGCGTGCAAAAGATATATATTTAAACCTCGAAGTCGATACTGAATGCTAAACAGCAGTTCTGCTGAAAATAAATTAATACAAATAGCTAAAGTCCAGTTTAAAAATTCAATATGCAATCTATAAATCAGGAAGCTTATAAAATTCATAACAGTAAAACTATCAGTTTTTCACTTAAAACATGGATCATGCATTAGTAACAGAAAGCACTTTCATTCAAGTATTTTTTAGGGATTCCTAACTTGTGAATGAAATAATATTTTACTAATACAAATTTATGGTTAGTAAATAGTTACGTATCTAAGGTCAAATAAATGACAGGTAAATGTGTCTGAATAATTAAACGGGCCCACCAGCGGCCGAGCGGTAAAGTCGCTGAAACACTGGTAGTTCGGTCCGAGGTTCGAATCCCGCGAACGGGCTGGCTGCATGGGCGTTTTCGTGGTTTTCCCCATGTGTAACGTGTATACGAGCCAGTTTCCCTTAGAAAGTCCTCCACGAAGGCATCCCTCCTCTTAGGCAGATAGCCCTCGAGGCTTTGCCGTAATCACACACACACTAAAATAATTAAACGAAAAACTTAAGACACTGAACTTAAAACCTAGGTTAGGTGCGTTTTTACATGAGGTAAAATGGCAAATGTGGGTTCATATGCACAGTCAAATTAATCAAAACGTACTTAAATATATTTATATTCAACAAAGTAATTTTTTTTAAATCATAACCAAATTCGCACCGAGACCAAATCGTAAACAAATTTGTACAAAGATATAAGCAGACCAAAATTTGTATACAGAAATAGAGATTGTAGCACTTGACAAAGTGCAATGACAAACGATCAAAGATGTTTCAAAAATCAAAGACGAGCAATGATAAACCACGGCTAAATTTCGGTCAATATATTCTTGAAGATGCATCTTTTCCATCAACAGTTAGGGTTCTAATTATATTCTTTAGTATCATGCACCACGCGTTGTTGCGTTTTAACAGCTGTCCTTTGTTAGGTACTCAATCCTGACACATGTGTGCTGGCATGGCGAGATACGGAAGCTCGGTTTGGACACGAGAGCACTTGTGTGATCGAACTTAATATTACTGAAAAATGACATTTAGGATACCCAACCGATCAGTAATAAAGATGGGAAAGCAGCACGTCTTCAAAATAACAGACCCTCAATAAAGTGTCTTTATTGTGCACCAAAGATGAACGCCTGTTAGCACTAACAGCACAAGAACAAGCCATTATTTCACGGGTTATGTTCTGCTCAAAAATGACCTTTCACCCTTTGAATCAAAAATCAAAATAAGTGCAGTATGTTTTGTATTACTATTCATACTATTGGTGTTTTTTGCTACTTATCAGAAGGCAGTTTTTGTCCTTTGTTTCAAAACTCTAAATCACTACTTGTCTAATTTTATGAATACAAAAGGCTACATTTAGAAGTATTTTAAAAGATAAAACATTATGATTCTAAAGCAATAACGTTTGGTAAATATGATAATGTATAAATACATTTAATTTTACTAGACCGCAATTGATATAGAGGCACAAATTTATCTCTTTGCTTCAGGTAAAATAAAAAATAAAAAAAAAAAAAAAAACATTAGGTTCTTTAGGCTTCAGATATATATAACTTCCATAAAACAAATGCTATACCCTTCTTCCATGTAAATAGTTTATAGATATTTATAGATTTTTATAATGCTAAGAAAAACCACAATTAGTGAGTTTTAAAATTTTTATTATACGCAGCTTATAATTTATTTACATGTTAACATATAAAGATATAATAACTAAACATTGAATATGAGTATTGCTAATTTTCATTGATTAAATTAAGGTTTTTTAAATTTCATGTTTCATAGCATGTTTTTTTAAAGAAAAACCATCATATTTTCCTGACTAACATTTATAATAATGAGAAAATATCCGAATTATCATGGATATTTCCAAGCAAGGTGAAAAAGTGAAAAATTTCATTTTTATTTGAGCAGTTTAAAATTCTGCTAATCTATTTACGTAAACCACTTACATAAATTTAACCACCCTTCTATCATATTTATTGTTGAAAATATAGAGGGAATTTTTATAGTTTACCTTTCACTGTTAATTTCGTACTGACGGCGCCTGTGCCAACATCATTTGTGGCCAAACATGTGTAATTCCCATTATGCTTGTAGGCTAAGGTGTTGATTGTTAGTGTAGATACAAAACCATTCCCGGCATAGATTATACTGGCGTCCAAATCTTCTTCGATTAAAGGTAACCCGTCCTTTAACCACCTCGTTGTAATTGGCGAATCCCCAGCAAGGACAATACAAGTTACCGCTGTCCGCATTCCTTCGTGGAGGTTGCCGGGGAAGCTGAAATTGCCAACTTGGGGCTCCGCTGCAAAAGAAAAAAAAAGTATTAACAACGCGAATACTACATCCTGGATCTTCATTACAGTAGGTATGTGAACTGTCCAAGTACAGTAGATAAGATTTTCCAGAAATTTTCACTTCATCAGAAATTTTCGTAGTGTATTTTCTTTTCCTAAACTTTCTGTTAACTGGTTTGATGAAAATTAATTTTGATGTACGAAAGTTAGCCGGTGGTACTTTATTTACATTTTGCTAAGCACATACAGTGACTGACAGAAATGATGGGACACTTTGAAATATTTGCATTCTTTGATAAATACCAAAACTAAAATAAATTAAACAAAAGAAAGACTTTTATTTTTATTTTATCTAAATTCAACATTTAGCTCTAGTAAACACATTTTCGAAAATATAAAAATTAAATTCAAAAATCAATGTTGTTTGTTTAATGAGGAAAAATATTCTCACAAAAGTAATCGGACACTTTTAGTAACAGCCAAAAATAGCCAAAACTTACATTGTTTTGATTCTTAATATATTTGCGGGGGGGTTATTTTTAATCTTTTGGTCATTGACTGTGCAAGTTGTTTTGTTATTTTGGGACTTATTTTATGCCACTCATTTAGAATCACTGCTTTCACTGCGAAGGTATGTTTTCGAATTTTCAATTCAAGTCCTGCCGAACATATTCAATAGGATTAAGATCTGGCGATTGGAGTGGTGCCTTAAATACTTCTAAACACTCATATAGCTACCAGAGTCTAAAATAGCGCGCAGTATAGCGCGCAGTATGCTTTGCATCCTTAACCTGATGAAATTTAAAACTGTTTTTTATATGAAGTTTGTGTGCTGACGATGCCAAATTTCGCTTCAAACTGCCAAGGTATTCATACTGATTCATAATACCCAAACATAAACTTTATATTACCAACATCGGAATGTACCATACATTCTCCATACCATAACTCCTCCTCTTCTGGGTTTAACTCTTAGTACTAAGTTTTGCTTCCGAATTTCTTCTTTGGGTTTTCTTCACACCACCATCATCTAAACTGATAAAGATATTAAATTTGCTTAATGCGGGTGCCTATTTGCGGGTGCCATTTGTTTTATCGATTTTGAGAAAGCAATTCGAAGTTTTCGGGTTTTTTTACTGACATAAAATTTTCTTCTTGCTGCTCGCCCATGATTTTCTACAGATCACATTCTTCTTCTTACAGTTTCTAGATTTACACATATTCCATGTAATTCACGAAGTTCCGCAATAAGTTTAGAAGCATCAATCTTCCTTAGAATTTCCTTAGAATAAAGCGTTTCATTTCACCAAATAACTTAGATAGCCTTTCAGGTCTGCTTCTGTTTTGAATACGATTCGATTCCTTATAACGCTTAATGAAATTAGAAACTGTAGAATTACTTAAATTAAGTTAATAGGCAATTTTTCTAATAAATTTCCCTATATTTTGATGCAAATCAGTAACTAATCTGAGAATTTCTAACATTTCCTTTGGCGACCGAGCCATTGCAAGAAAACTTTAAAATAACGAATATTTTCTAAAAAGAAAATTCGAATTATAAAAGCAAAAAATTTTTAGATATATGCCTAGCTTCTTTATTCATAAAATTCTATAAAATTTCGTTTTTATTTCTTGCAGACGATTTTAATTAGAAATTCCGAAAATGTCCGATTAATTTTGTGGTATTTTTTTTTTTTTCCATTTCAGCCTAAAATATTATTTTTTAAATTTACTATTTAATTTTTTCAAATTATTCTGTACATAGAGAGAGCTAAGAAAATATGTATTCAAAGGGAAAATATTCCTTATTATTTCATTTCAAAGATTTTTCTCCTATTGTGTAAAAAAAAAAAAAAAAAAAAAAATGTAGCGGCCGATCATTTTTGTGAGACATTGTAAATAGGTAACTGGTAACCCTTTAAGGTAACTTTTTTTAAAAAATAAAATGTTTAATTTTTAATTTCAAATTTATAAGTTGAGTTCAGAATAGTTAATCGAAATATCTTTTAATATACCATTTCATAAAAAACGAAATACTCTAAGAACTGCCAGTTATATGACGAACACTTTATGTCTGCTTGAAGAACTTAAAATATTTGAGAAATTTAAAAGAAAAACTTTCTCAAAATGTAAACGAAATCTCCTAAAATTTCAGAAAACACTTGAGAAAATTTGCATTACAATGAATAATATCCTCATAATTAATAATTGAGTTATCATTAATATTCATTAAAAGTTTGAGTTTAAAGTACTTCTAATCAAATATAATTCAGAAATGGATCTTAAAGAAAGCACCAATAATATACATAGAAAAAAATCTGGAAACTAACATTGTGGGGATTGAAAAATTTCGGCGAGAATTATTTGCTTAAATTCCATTTATATCATATGGTTCTTTCGTTCTTATTATAAGACTACATAGATTTAACTTTTGCGCGCATATAGTAAGAATAAAAGATATACTAAGCAGTTTGTATAGTTCGTTGACGAAAAATACGAATCACAAGTCTTCTAAACGTTTTAAAATTTAGTTATATTTAAAAAAGGCATTATGTGAACGCATGTTATAATTTTAAAATTCATTTAAAAAGTACTTGTTCGAGCGCCAATGCTATTTTTGATGCAATGCATTTGGTAGAATATTCAGTATCTGTAATTCTGAAGGATAAAATGTAGTTTTCCCTACATTTTATTACAAAAGGATTTACCATGATTTTATTTTACGTCAAAATAAATATATATCACAATAAAGCCCTTATATATATTATAATATATCACGAAAAATATTTTTTTGTCACACAGTAAAGTTCTATATTATTCTCTTCGTAAAAGTAAACAACGAAATGTAAGTAAAATCATTTAGGAGAAAATGGCAAATAGTAAAAAAGAAACGAAGGGAAAAGTATACTAGCAATGTTATTGCTTTTGCAACGTCAAATACTTTTAACGATTTTTTTCATTTTACGTGTTGTATTGTGTAACTTACACCAATGGCAATTGCATTTTTTCAATGTAAACAGAATAACGAACTTAAAGCGGATATGCTATTTTAAAATAAAGCAAAGCTGATCTCTGCTTGTAAACTCGACAGATTTATAATGTTTTTTAAAGCCTATTTTCATTAAATTAACGCAGTTTAATCTTACATTTAAATAAGTCGGTAAAAGTTGCAAAAAATGCAATTCTCTTTTTTTTTAAACTTTGCTGCACCCTAATAAGCAAATTCAAATGTTGCAATTTGTGTATTAAAAAAATACGCTGTGCCGTTTCTATCAAAGATGATTTTAATATCACAGCTATAAAGAAAATAATTTTTAAAGCAAAAATATATCTTCTAATTGACATTTTCATAACAGAACAATTAAAACAAATATATTTATTCTATGAGGTATTTTCACCTTCCAGCATGCCTTTGTAGTGTAACGGTGGCACATTCGGAGTGTATAATCGAAAGATCCCTATTCGAGTCCCGGTGAGGGCATTGCACATTTTCCTTCTCTCCTGCTTCAAAAAATCCCTAATGAATCTACAGTGGCTCCCGAACTAGAAGATGGTGAACAATAAATAATTCGTCACCACCAGGATTTGGCTTCCCATTAGCCTCTTAAAAGGGTGTATAAGTAAGGTATTTTCTCCTTCCTTCCAGCATGCCTTTGTTGTCTACCGGTAGCACTCTCGACTCGTATTCCAGTTGTCGATGTTCGAGACCCGGAGAATACATGTTTCATGTACGCCTGCTTCAAAATAACGTGATTACTCCCCAGTTTAACAATGGCCTTTCTGTACCTACTAAAACTGGCAGAACGTAATCAGTTCGCTCTTTAACGAGGTAATATATTTTACGTTTTATTACCTAAATATCTAAAATAATTATACGCTTTTTTCAGTCTTTATATATTATTTTCTTTATTTAGTACCGATTTCTTTTCTTCTATATTACAGATGTATTACCTCGAGTGTTAGATTAATAAAGGTTTTTTTAATGAAATTTCACTTGATTCAATTCATTATCCGCTCTAACGATGGTTAAGTGGTTAAGACAGCTGAATACTAGTAATTCTACCCGGGGTTTGTAACAGAAGAAGGGTTTGACTACAAGATTGGTTTCCTTTACATGAAACGTAAAATACGAATCAGTTTTCATTAGAAAATCCTCCACAAAACCATCCCTCCCCTTAAAAGGATAGCCCTTTTGCCGTATGCAGATAATCTAAGAAAATTCTGATGCTTCAAAAGTTAACCTTATGTTTCTAAAAATGTTTGATCTTTTCGTGGGTACGGGACATTCTTCTCCAAATTATGTGATTATGATATTTATTAATTAACAGTTTTGAGCGACATTAATTTAATTGATAAAGCATATTAATTTTTGATAGTTAAAAATAAACCAAACCATTTTTGTTTTTTTTTTTTACTTGTAGAGACATTAGGTACTTTTTTGGAAGCAGAAGAGATGAGAAATTAGCAAACGCCTTCTCCGGGAATCGAACCACGGACCTCTGGAATACCGGCCCAGCGTGCAGAACCACTACATCACGAAAGCAGGAGAAATACCATATGTACTCTCCCTTTTAAAGGGCGACTGGGGTTTTTAGGGGATCCAATCGCCAAATCCTGGATGAGGAGACCAATTCCTGGATGAAGAGAATCATCATCCAATACCCTTTTAGTTCGGGCGCCCCTGTAGAGACATTAGGTATTTTTTGGAAACAGGCAAGGTGAAAAATCAGCAACCGCCTTCGCTGGAAATCGAACTACGGACTTCTAGATACCGGCCCAGCGTGCAGAATCATTACACCACGAAGGCACGCTAGGAAGGCGGGAGAAATACCTTATACACTTTTAATGATTAGTTTGCCCTATTGGATGTTTATGGTTCGATAGTCTTCTATTTTATTGTTGCTTTAGAAAAAAAATGTTTCCATTATGAAATTTATAAACTAGTGGTTTTTTATCGTTATTATCTTAGGGCTTGCATAATGAAAATTTATCCTGAAAAGAAAGGCAACTAGCTTAAGTACGTATTGTGTGTTTATCCTGCAGGATGATTGCTACTGCATATGAAATAAGCTGTTAACTTAAATTCTTCTGTAGCTATGCTCAAATTTTAATTTGTATCCCTACTTTCATGATTCCTCCAGATGAAATGTTTTAACATCTCAGAAATATTCATTACAGCACGTTACCTAGAATTATTCTATAGTAAGGAGCTTTGTAATTAGCACTGACTAAGAAATATAGGTATCAAAAGGAAAGCTTCTGCATCACAATTCTTTCCAATTTAATTATATAAAAATACTATTTCCAAAAATTAATTATATACATATATTATGATATTATGCAGCATTTCACTGCAAATACGTATTTTAACCCTTGTAAAGGTTGCAGATTTAAGCTGCTATTAGGAAATACCAAGCAGTAGGAAAAGCTTCATACGATATTCAAAATATTACTTCTCTTGGGGCACTTGAAAGCTCACGATTCTTTGAAAGGGTCGTTTCCCTTTATGCCATTTCAATAACGAGTTCCCATAAACAACCAGATCTGAGATATAGTAAAATGTTAAAAAATTGTATAAGGAAAAAGAAGGAATCTATAAATATAACGCACTTCTTATGATGATTGAAAAGGTTCTAGATGCTGGTATGCCTTTCTCAAACGTTACTTCGCAGCTGTAAAATCCATCATCTACACCTGGTAGCATTTCAGCTATGTATAAGGTGCCATTAGGGAAAACTCTTTGCCTCTGATTAATGGGTAACAGTCTGCCATCTGCAAAAATGATTGTCATTAATTAAGCTTTGCAAGAACATGACTTCATATTAATAATACAGAATATCAATAACAAATAAAACACAAATATAAAGTAATGTCATTACTTAAATAAACATCGGAGTTTTATAAGTTAAGACCAAAAGAAAAAGGTAAAAGAGAAATTTTATAAAATAAGCTTTCAACTTATAATTTCAAACTTATAAAATAATTAATAACAAAAGATGGTGTAAGGTATTAGCCTTTCACAAAATGTAACGTGCTAAAAGGTATTTCTCCCTTCTTTCCGCATGACTTCGTGGCGCAATAGGAAGCATACTCGATGCGTGCTCGAGAGGTCCAAGGCTCGTCTCCCGGCGAGAGCAGAGTACAATTTTTAATTTTCGTTTTTCAAAAATAATTTAATGACTTTTTAACTGGCGCTTGAACTAAAAGGTGGTGGATGATAATCGTCACCGCCAGGATTTAGAGACTGGGTCCTCTCATCTCCAGTCGTCCGTTAAAAGGGGAGTACAAAAGGTATTTTCTTCCTCCTTTCCGCACGCCTTTGCGGTGTAACTGGAAGCACAGGGTTCGAGTATCGGCAAGTGCACAGTTTTTTCTTCACGTTTCCTGCTTCAAAAATAACCTAATAACTCTATAAGTCATTAAGTTCTACTCATTATGTTAATGACATTAGATAGTCATTAGGTTCAATGACTCTACAGTGCGACTTATCCTCAATAAGACCGTAAGTGACTTATCGCTATGTCTTCAAATTACTACAATGACTTAAAAAGTATTTCAACTAAATAATATGAACAGAAGGTACATCTGGTGCTTACAAACCATCCACCATTTATGGCAAAAACTCAAAATAGGAATTCTAAATCTAAATATAATTATCAACTATCTCAAAGGCCACGCAGAATAAGTTAATCTCAAAGTTAGCTATTATAGCTTCAATGGCGCTAAATCATGACCGGTAGTTATAATGCATGGTCGAAGACAGGAATGCTTATCTTAAAATAGTAATTCTATCACCGTGGCCTTCAATAGGCAGAACATGCTCTCAATTCATAAACTCAAGTCTCCACTTCAATACGCGCGAGCTAATTTGCATTCTGACGAGGGAACGGAAAGAGAGATCTGACAGTAAAGATTCAAAGACAAATTAAATATACCTTAAAACAAATTATCATATAGCTTCATGGGAACAAGAGATTAAATAATTCTCTTTACAAATCTCACTGCTAATTGAGTGACTCTAATTGAATTGCATCACGAGCAGAACTGTCTATCGAGAGGCTGGAACAAATTGTTTCCTCCCTATCCCTTGATAAATTTGGAAACAGATGTTTTATCCTCTTCAAAACAATCAATTCATAATTTTAACTGTAGATAAACAAAACTGATGTTTAATAAATTTTATTTTAATATGCTCCTATTATTTCTTAAAATGAATTTATTGATTTTATGGGCAACATTTATGCATATGACTAATATTTTGCTATTTTTCATATTCTAAGAAATCACTAATTCTGTATTGGTTAACTCATAGATCTAATTTTGCTATCCTTTTTGAATGAGTGTATTCCATATGCATAATGTCATAAACAAATTTAGAACAACAACAAAACACTCTTTTTTGTTTGTAAACATTGATAATTTCTCAACCATTCTGAATTATGACAGATTTTTAATACCTTTTTAGACGCTTATATTCCGACTTCAGACTGAAACAACTACTAACAGAATTAACATTAAATGCTACCAAAACAGATGGTATATTTTTAGGAAATGTCCAGCTGAGGTAAGATAGCTTCCACGAAAGCGGGGTTAGGATTGTCAGAAAGTGGCAAGAAAATGGCAGGATTACTAGATTTGCCACGAAATCGCCCATTTGGCGACAAATTGGCGATATGCCATAGACGGAGCGAGAACATTTTAGAACGAATTCTTTTCCAAAAATGTTCTCGAAGCATGTCAAAAGCTATATATGCACTGCCTGCACGCGGAGTAGGAGAATACCTAGAGTATTTTGAGTTCAGTAGTAGTGGCTTGAGTTTAGGAATCAGCTCGAGATCGATTGACCCAGTCGGAAGCTGTAGTGCTTTACCGTGAAGCTGTCTCCACTGTTATAGCCTGATAGCTTGAAAGCTGTGTTGCTTCCAACGTGTTTGTTGTAGTTTTTCGACGACTGTAACACGTTTTTGGAACTGCCCTATGTAATTACTGACGAATAAATTGTATTTTGATTCTTCCTCAAATCTTGTCCTCAATCACTCCAAATCCACGAAACCGTAGAGCACAACAATATATATATCTATTTTTTTTTTATCATTTTCACTGTTCATTTAAATGTTCTATAAATTGCATTTGCTTGTGACGATCAGTATTTGCTTTCAAAACTGAGAGCCTGGAGATGCCTTACAGTGAAGCAAGAAACTGAAATTTTAAAGCCCTCGCACTTAGTTTGGCTGATTTGTTAAGGAATTTTAAAAGAATACTATGCATAAAATACAGCGTGTTTTTTTTTAAACTACGGTACTCAGAGACATCTGTAGCTTGAACTATCAGCCACAAAGACACGAAAGTTTGTACGGGGACTATTGACGACATGGGAAAGAATCCGCGAAAAAAAAATAATTCGAAAAGTTGCCGATAGGGGAAATGTGACACTTTAATCTTTCAGATAGTTAAAATTTTGCATAAAACACGGGAAAAAATTGCAAAATGCAAAATACCGATTACGTAGTCGACACCAGCGCCATAACACTGGCTGTTACGAACATAGCTCCTGAGATGTTCCATTCAGCTACAGAGAGTAGGGTGAACAGAATGCAATGCTTAGTCCAAGAAAATGGAGGTCATATTGAAAAAAGCTGATGTCTTTTTTCTACTGAATAAAAACAAAAGAACAAAGAATAAAAAGGTAGTCGAATATACTGTTCTCTCTCTTCTTCTTCTTTTTTTTTTTTACTTTTTTTATTTGTAACCATTTACAGAAGTTAGTTTTTACTAAAGCAGTGGAAAAATCAATTCTTTGTTATTCATTTATCTGTTTACTGTAACTTTTAAAAGTGATCAAAAATTTTATTTTGCAGTTAAACTTAAAATTTAGATCAAAAGCAACATATTCCCCTTATCGGCATTTTTTCGAACTAATTTCGTTTTTCGAGGATTCCTTTTTCCCATGTCGTCAATAGCCCCCGTAGAAAATTCCGTGCCTTTGCGGCTAATAGTTTAAGCTTAGTCTCTGAGTACCGTCAGTAAAAAATAATAATAATAATAATAATAATAATAAAACCTGTACATTAAGCAGTTAAGGTTCTCTTAAAAACCTCTTTTCTGCTTAATCTCTTTTTTGGTCAAAATTGGCAATACAATACTTTAAATCATTATTAAAACGAGGAGAAGTAGAATGCTATATATAAATACTATTAATACTCTTTTGTTTATTACTCTAAACATTGTTCTACAGTTCATATTTTAATTCAGAAAAACAAACGTTTACATGTATCTTACACAATGAGCCAAAAAATCATTATTTTATGTTTCATTACTGAGTAATATATGCATTGCCATTACGAGCTTCGTGGGAAGTATAATGTTTACATATTTTTAAATGCTAAAACGCAGTTTAAAAGCATTCTCCTATAAATCTCTGGCATGTCTTTAATGGAATTACCTGAACGCGTATCCTTTAAATTATCGATTTTCGGGAAATGCAATTTCGGTTTGAGCAGCAAAGTTTGGCGAAGTGATCAAACCATCTATCACTTTCCGCCCACTTGTGTTGATGAGAAAAGATCAGGAATTGGAGGTGACTTACACTGCTTTAGAATACGAAACCACTGGACCGAAAGTAGCTTAACATCTTTCTTTACTTTCATACTAAATGGATACAAATTTACAGTTTTCCGAATAAATTACCAATATTAACTAACAAACCATAAATAATTTTCTCAGAGCAATTTAAGTTTGAGTATTAAAATGCATAGTTAGGAATAATAAAACTCCATCTAAATAAAGACCAGATACAATACCGTTTTACACTCTGCTGAACTTTCGATGAATCCTTATATTAACATATTTTGAGAGGTTTAAAAATTTAAATGAAAAATCCTGAATTACTTACAATCATTTTGTGAATTCCTAGATGTAATGTGGTAAGCAAATAAAGAAGCAGAATATAGATATTAGCATAAATAAACAAAAAAAACTGTCGATTTTCTTTTTAGTTCGTGACAGTTGGTTCGTTTGAATTCTTTTCAACTATATCAAAATAAACGACATAATTTTTACGATGAACTTCTTTATTGATATACGAGTGAACTATACATAAGTATTTTCGCTAAGTATTTTAGATATTGTTGTGAAAAGCCCAGCTGCAGTACGGTAGCTTCCCCGCAAAGTGAGGTTAGGGTTGCCAGAAAGTGGCAAAGAAAGGCAGGGTCTCCAGATTTGGCGCGAACTCGACCATTTGGCGACATACGATAGACGGAACGAGACCATTTTAGAACGCATTCTTGGCGGTTTTCCTCGGGAATGCTCTCGTAGGTAGGTTAAAGCTTTATATATCTTGCTTGCACGCGGAGAAAAGAATTTGTTGAGTTCAGTAATAGTGTTTGGGTTTTAGAGATTAGATTGAGAGTGACCGAATCGAGTTGGGAGCTGTATCTTAGTGCTTTGCCGTCTGAACATTTTATCGGGAATTCTAAAGATATGCTGTTTCTAAATAAATAGCCTAAAAGGGCGGCAGGCCAGTAAGGCTATTAGTTTCAAAATAGCATTTTGAGTTGTTTCACTATCAATGTCCGTTTCACTTTTCAAATTGGAGCCACCAAATACTATCGCTCTGTATTACATTTAAAAGAAATTTAATAATGGAGAATCTGCATGAATGTATGAATACATGTTTCTCGCATTGTGAAAAAACGACGGTACCTAGACCTATCACATTTTGAATAACGTAATCCTCCATCCGAAGACTAGCAACTGGACGCCCGAATTTCGAT